ACCAGCAGGCGACTCTGGTCGCGCATCTTTCTCTTCTTCTCGTTCAACAGCAGCATAAACTGCCGCAGCATGGCCGTCTCCGCCTCGCGCTTGGTCTGGACCAGGTCGTCGAGCTGTGCATTTAGCTTTGCAGTTGCCTCTTGCTCGCTGCTTACTCGGGCCTTGAGGTCGGCCATTTGCTGCAGTGTGTGGGCGTGGGCAATGGCCGAGGCCTGTGCCCATTCGAACGGGTTAAACTCAAATTCATCATTCTGCGGCAGCACAATCTCGCCCAAGGTCATCTATATGCATCAGCGCAGCCAAGCCAGGCGCGGGGGATACGTACGCACCTTTATGGCGTGAATGTCCTGGCGGAACAATAGCCCCAGTCGGCCGTTTTTCAGCGTGTAGAGCATGCGGACGCCGCGCAAGAGGGCGGCCTGGGCGCCCTCTGGCGGTTGCTGCAGCAGGAAATGAGACAAGATGGCCGCCCACTCGTCGTCGGAGCCCTTGAACTTATGCCTGAGGGCCGCGATATTGCGGTGGCGAACTGGGACCGGGTGAGCAAATGAGGGCAATGGCGTGGTTGCACGCGCAGGGGCTTACTCGACGTGACATATGGGCGTTCGCTCTCGCAGCCCACGAGGCGGACGTCCAGGGCATGGCTGCCCTCCTGCTGCACCTCGATGACGACTGTTTCCCCGCGGCCATGGGCAGGGTCGACGGGCACGATGTAGCGGGCGGGCATAGCGGGCCTGCGACTGCGACGGGCACCGACGGGGACTGGGCGATGATTTGCACCAGCTGCCACGCGGTGCGGCGGGAGGTCAGCCGGTTGGGCAGCGTCGAGGGCATGCACACGGCGCAGGCGGTGCTCCGGGCGGGCCCTGGGCGATGTGTCTCACGAGCGGCGAGCCGATCGGGGTCGTGTCGCGGGTCGCTCAGGCACAGGCACAGGCACGCGCACCGAGTGTTTTGACGCGGGCCTGGTCAGTCTTCACCTGTGTATGGGGGCGGCGTGAAACAGTGGCGGGTGGTGTCTGAGACGGGCAGGCCTGGCGAAGTTTATGTGGCACGCGAGCGAGGCCCACGGCGCAGGCAGCCTCCGCCGTCGCTGTTTGTTTAGGGTTTAGCGGCAGCCCGTTGGCCAGGCATCAGTCCTGCACACGAAGCAAGCCACGCAGCCGCCGTCCCTGGCCTGGCTCCCCCCCTCCCCCATCGCAATAGCAATACAGTAGCAATAGCAATACAGTAGCAATAGCAATACAGTAGCAATAGCACCAGCAGCACCAGCAGCACCAGCAATTCTGCCCCCAGCGTGCGGTGCGGTGCGGTGCTGTGCTCGGTACATATCTATAGGCACCGTGCCCTCGCCCGCGGCCACTGTGGAGACCATCGCTCGCTCAGGGACTTTTTGGCGCACCCGTGCTCTTTTCTTCCACGTCGCCCCCGTCTTGCTGTTCTTCCCTTTGTCGTCGTCTCGTAATTCTTCCTCGCCCGCGGCGTCGCGGCAGGGCTGCTGTCCCCCCCCTCACAACAACCCCCCCCCTCCCAGCACACCATCCACGTAGCCGTCCTAGCAGCCTCGACACCACACACACACGCGTGCTTAGCGTGCGGGCCACCGGGCGCGCCTTCCTTCGCTGTCCACCGCCTCGCTTGTCCTGCAGGAACCTGACAGACCACCTTTGCGGCCCACCCCCAACCTCCTGCTTTGCTCCCGAAGATCCTGCACACCATCACGACACTACGCAACTCTGCGGTTTTCGCGCCCTGCCCCCAGAGCATGGCGGCCAACAACCGCTCCTTCGCGGCGCGCATTGCCTCCATCTCGTCCAACAGCTCCAGGATGGAGTCGTGGGACGACGGCGACTTCGACGACCGCTCCGACGGCCTGCTGTTCAAGAACTCGACGGTGCACTCGCTCTCGTCGCGCATGAGCGTGCGCTCCGAGTCCGAGTCCCAGGACGACTGGCAGTTCCTCATCACGCCCGACGACCAGGCCACAAACACGTCGGCCATCACGTCGGCCGCAAAGCAGGCCGGCATCCCCATACCCGCCAATGTGCCCTCGTCGGCCCTGCTGGGCGGCTCCATCAAGCGTCTGGGAAAGAGGAAATCGACCAAGAAAATGGACGTCGACGACGACTGGGGCAACGACCTCGAGCTGCCCGCCAACGCGTCCGAGGGCCTGAAGCTGAAGCCGCCCGTGCCACGCACGCCCGCCGACGAGCAAGACAACGACATCGACTGGGGCGAGGGATCGTTGGGCATCCGCTTTGCAGGCACGCGCCAGGCTACCCGTGGTGGCCGTAGCTCCTCCGTGTCGGCCATGAGCCCTAGCCTGGGTAGCTGCATGACCATGGAGAGCGAAGAAGACGACCTGGGCGGCCTCGTCCTGCCCGCCGAGCCCATGGACTTTAGCGCACGTCTCGAGAAGCTGAAAAAGGGCGAGCATCAGCAGCAACAGCCAAACCAGCATGCACCCTCGGCGCCTGGACCATCGCTGCTCCCACCACTTCAGCTCAACCAACAGCCCACGTCTGCCCCAGCACCGCCCACGTCGTTTCCCGCAGGCGAGCCGCCGTTATCCCCCACCGCCGCAGCCCCTCCCTTTTCGCCATCGGGCAGCCCCAAGGCCCCATCGCCGCACCCGAAGCGTGTTGCCGACGACGAGGACGATTTCGAGGCTGGCTTCGATTTTGGCGGAGTCGACATCCTCGACAGCCAGAAGCTTACTCTGAACAAGAACATTGTCGTCAAGAAACGCGCAACCAAGACGAATACACACCATGCTGCCCGTCCTTCAGCCACGCTCACTTTTACTGATCGACCTACGACGTCACGAATTCCTAGACCATTACCCTCCATTGCCAGCCGCACCCGGCTAACTCCTGTTTACGAGACCGGCGCCTCAGCCACAAACAAATCAACAAGAACCATGCCTACTACTACCAGTGCACAGCTCCTCCGCGCAAAGCGATCTGCGCCTGCTCTTCGCAATCCCACCTCGAACCCGCCACCACGTATGCCCTTTATCCCCGCTGGCGGCCCGTCGTCGCAGTCGCACCACGTCATGGCCAAGAGCACTTCGCAAACTCATCTGCGTCGCGACTCAGACCCCCGCCGACCCATCTCGCCTTCCTTGCGCTCTTACTCTCGCATGTCTGGCCACCAGACCGAGACACCAAGTCGCGCAGGGGTGAGACGCGATCTAGCACCCTCTGCCCTTGCACGCCACCCACCTCCAAAGAAGCTAACCCAGCCCCAGCGCAAGCGGAACTTTGGAGATGGCCATGAGCTCGACATGTTTGACGATCTGCCTACCTCGGCCGCCAAGGAGAAGCAGTTCGAAAAGGTCCCACGCAATGTCTCCAGTAACAAATCTCTACGCCAGCAACCTAGTAATGGGCGCCTGCCTATGCCCGACCGCATGGCAACGCCTCAGCCCCAAACGCCGCGGAGCCCGTCCAAGATGGACCAGACACCTCGATTTGCTCGAGACACCGCTGCGAGTAGGAATGCACGAGAGCAACGGCTAGCAGGTACGAAGTCACGAGCGGATGGCTCCGTTACCCAAAGACCCGTGAGCTGGGCTGCTCAAGTTGCTGCTCGCAGTCCCAACTCGAGCCCAAATGCTCACAAGAAAAAAGGGACAGGACAGAAACCGCAGTTGATCCGCCAGATGACGCAGCCTCACACCCACAGTACGGCGCTCTTCCATTGGTACCCAGCTCCCACTAACCTCTATGCAGACGAGAAAGGCATGACTTACAACCCTACTCTGCAGCGCTGGGAAGGCAACGAGGAGGCGCTCATTTCCTTTTCCCACCCTAATACTTCTACCACTACTCTTGCCTTGACGACAGCTAGCACGCCCACGTTTGCACCAGCAGCCAACCCGACAGGCCGCACGCACGACCGCTCCGTGTCAAGCTCGCACATAGCTCTCTCGTCCATCCATGCGACGCAAGCACACAGGAGCTTCTCGGCACGGGTGGCAAAGTTGGCCCAGCCACCAGCACCAGCACCAGCACCATCTCCGCCTCGCCCTGCTCTGATCTCGCAAATCTCGGTGCCCCGCAGCGTGCAGTATGAAGGCCGCATGGTGTTTGATCCTGTCAAGATGACCTGGCTCAAGGCACCTCGGCCAATCAACGACGCTCGCTCGCCGTCTGAGCTTGACGAAGACGAGGATCCATTTGCCGGCCTCGAGGACCTCAAGGACAATGAGAGTGTCGCCGGCGGCAATGGCTTGAGCGGCACCGGCACACCAAACCCCGAAGACACAGCCTTTGTCGGCGAAGAATTCGACGTCGGCCCCAGTTTTGTGCGCCGCCAGCGCGACGAAGAAGCCATCTGGCGCCGCCGAGTCGAAGGTTGGGTCGGCGGCCTTCGTGACAATGGCGAACAACGAGGCGGATGGCGATGGGCAATCCGCGACTTCGCCGCCAGCGCGTCTGCTGGTAGTCCCTCATTCTAACGACCCTGTACATGAAGTGCATCCGCATTTTACGACTTTATGATTGCATCGCAGATTCAGTCTACGGGCACATGTTGGTGGAACCATGTTCCACACTGAATAATGACGTGCGATGGAATGTCTTTTTTTGAGATATCCCCCCCCCCCTCCTGAGTGTTATGACGGGCGTGTTACGGAGAAAACCGCCTCACTCTTACGACGCATTTACGACTTTACGACGGCATGACCGTACACCTACACCTATTACAGATGGGGCTTCACTGCTCGGACACATGACTTACGATATTTCCTTTGTATAATGATCTGCGGCGCTTGGGTTATCTTGATTCAGTACATCAGGAAACATTTAATACTACGTTTCTGCTGATACTGCTATTACCCCCTTGGCAAGGAAGATGGGCCCATGTCTCTTGGAAACAGTTATGCTGCTGGCCCCCTGTGCCGTGCCCGTGCTAGCTGGTGCTGGTGCCGTGCCACAGTTGCCGCCAAGGTCTTTTCCGCCTTGATTGGTCAGTCGTGGAGTCATAGCTGCGGGCCCCACTGCTCACATGCCCATTTCGACCCGCCCGTGTCTCAGGCGTCACCGCTCCTCCCCCCTTTCCTCTCCCTATATCATGTCGCGCTCCAATGACCCAGGTCATTACTTCCAGACCACGTACGAGCAACTTCTCTTATGCCTCTTTGACCTTGGCTGATAGGCTGCAGCTCGTCACTCGAGGAGACGGCTCGCAAGGCTGCCAAGTCGACCAACTCCAAGGGCAATCCCACCAAGCTCCCCTCCAAGATTCTCGCAGTCGCCGCCGACCCTCGGGATGAGAGCCACATCTACGTCGCGGAAGCTGCAGGCAGCGTAAAGCACATCAATATTGAAGTCGGTCAGACACATGCTCCTCAGTTCCAGCCCCACAGCTGGACGGTGTGTCACCAATCACTAGCTAACCCCGCTCCCTGCAGACGAGTAAAGTCGCTGCGACCTTTTCCGGCCCCGCCGCGCCCCTGACCTCTGTCGCCGTTTCGACAAAATCCGGCACGCTCTTTGCGGGCTGCTGGGACAAGTCCATCTGGTCATGGCCACTCTCCTCTCGAAAGGCCTCCACCCGCTTTCAGGGTCACGGTGATTTCGTCAAGGCCATCATATGCTTCACCCTGAACGGCAAGGAAATCCTGGTCTCCGGCTCCCAAGACGCGAGCATCATAGTATGGGATGCTGCTGTGGGGACAAAGCTGCACACGCTCAAGGGCCATACACGAGGCATCCTAGCGCTCGCACTAGACCCGGCTGACTATGAGCCTGGGAAAGACACAGCCACCGTCTTTAGTGCTGGAAGCGATCGTGAGATCAGGCGCTGGCAGATTGGGTATTCCGCGGCTTCCGAAGTCCACCCGTCACCAATCATTGCACACGAGACCAGTATTGACGCTCTGCACTTCGACTCTGATGGCGATTTGTGGACGGCATCAGCGGACAAGACAGCAAAGTGTCTATCCAGAGGCCGAGAGTGGGAAGAAGATTCCAAGTTCGAACACCCCGACTTTGTTCGTGACGTCGTTATTGACGAAAACGGCGGGTGGGTAATCACAGCATGCAGAGACGAAGAGGTCCGCGTGTGGGAGAGAGCCAGCGGAAAGTTGCATCATGTTTTCACTGGGCATTTTGAAGAGGTCACGGGACTTCTCTTGATGGGACAGCGCTTAATCAGTGTAAGCATTGACGCGACAGTGAGGCAGTGGAGCCTCAAACCTCAAGAGCTCGCCAAAGCTGTGGAAGAAGCCGAGAGCGAGCGCCTCGGAAAGGATAAAGAAAAGGAGCCCGAACAACAAGAGAGCCTGATGACAGCGGAAGAAGAAGCAGAGCTCGCGGAGCTCCTAGGAGATAGCGATTAGACGTCGACTAGCGAACCCACGGCCGGACATGCGTTACCAAGGTTTGCTGGGGTCTTTCGAATAACTTTGTCCGGTCGGCCCTCTAGGTAAATTCGATACGAGACGACAGGCCGAGACAGTCATGTTCCACTCCACAATCCGGCTGCGACTTACAAGGACGAACTCGCCTAGCTTTGCGACCCTGTAGCTTTGGCTCTGTACGCTTTCCGTCTGACCCGCGCTCCTCTGTTTACGAGAAGCATCAGGGTCGCTATGCTCACAGCTCAGTTTTAGCCCCAATGTTCGTCTTCGGTCTGGGACAGTCGTTCTGTCCTGGCGCTGGCCGTTCAATGCCGGATGTGGAACGGTACCATGGTTGGCTTTCCAGTCTCCATACAGCAGCTTGGTATTCCCCATTTTCCTATTATGATTTAACTCGTGGTGCTGTTTACTGGCGTCTAGCACTCGTGCCATGGACTACCACCGGCGCTAGCCTACAGCCCACCTCTCCTCGACATGTGACCATCTAGCAAGACGCTTTCCTTCTCACAGCGAAGATTTTCTGGCCACCTCACCTTGCCTCCCCCAACTCCTCACCTCACCCCCACCATGCCAACATTCTTCTTTTGTTCTCGCAACAATCCTTTCCTATCCCTACCTGCACCCAACACGATACCTGTGGGCTAGACTTCTGGGTGTCTCGGAGCGAAACTTGGACTTTCCATGGTTTGCAATCAAATCCTTCGGGCCTTCCGCCAATCACATTCAGCAACCGACGCCTCGATCGAATACCCCGCGATGAGCCCCTTTCAGCCTTCCCTTCAACATGCCGTCACTATATGTGGCGCGTGCGGACTGCGAACAAGCGAGAAGCTACTCCACGCCAGGGAGCGATTTTCGCAGCCCCGCCACCAGTTGCCACCTTTTCAGGTCGGAGCGTGTGGACGATACCAGCAGATATGGAGCGTTATGCTCTGACAGACCGCAGGGTCCTTGGTTTGTTGACGTGAGAGGATGCTTTCTCCCTTGTGGCGGTAAAACCACATGTAGGAAGTCTTGGCTGTTTTCACTCCGCCTAGCGCACCGTGGAAGAAGCCAAAGGATATGAGTTTCATGTCTCCTCTCAATGTGTTGACTCTGGCAGGCCCTTCGGTCCTTGGCGTTCCGTTCAGCGTGCAACAAGAATCGTCTGGCACAGTCGAGTCTGCTTTTCCCCGAGCAAAGTGGAAGGCGTCGGATGCAACCGGGCGGTCTTTCTCCGGGTGTTCGGTTTCTGGTCGGCAAATGCTCCGAAGGTGGCCACCATGAAGCATTCGTATCGAGGCACCCAATATCAACTGATGTAGTGGGTCTGATGGTCTTGCGCCCATGCGCGAGATGATTAGAGGACGAGCCTATCGGTCAAAGGGAGTCCTCTCCTGCCACCAGTGTTGTTTTTTCAGACAATGCGCGTGGAAGATGCCTGCGATATCTAGCCTGTGTGAGCAGGTTTTGACAGACCGTTAGGTCCATGGCATTCTTTGGCCATACTCGCTCACTTCTCCAGGCTTGGGCAGTCCGCGAAAGACACGCCCAACCTAGAACCGCCGACTAATTTGACCTGTGGGACACCCAGGCCAAACAACGCGGTGGTGTCTTCGAGAGATTCGAGGGGAATTTGCGAAGGCCTTGGTCCATTTCGACGCAGTAAAACCCCGCACTTTCGTGCTGGTGGTTTGGAGATACGGCCCGCTCCCAGCTCACCACAGCTGCAGTCCAATGTTCAGGGGTTTGAGACTGGTTTGCTCCTTGTTTTCCGTTCCGGCGCGAGGCTTGATCTCATGCACTCGCTCGCCCTTACTGGTGCCAGGTAGAGTATCCTTTTCTCACCCCACGATGGTTCGCGTGAGGAACCTGTCTGCCAGGGGATGGTTCGCCTTTCCCCCGCCACCAGTATCATCCTTATCAGGAAGATGAGTGTGGAAGATGCCTGCGATATGGAGCTTCGCGAGAAGTCTCTGGTAGACCTCATGGTCCATGGCACTTTGCTTACAGGCACCCTTGGACGCACATACCCCCGATGTCTTGGCTATTGTGCAGACCCCACCTCCTCCCCCCCCCATTCAACCTTTGTGCCTTGGTGCCACACTTTCGGGTACGCCCGCTTCTTCAGGTACGCCTGCTTCCTCCGGGCTCGCCCGTTCATTCAGGTCCGCCTACGTTCCGGATAAGTCCGCTTGTTCAGGTCCGCCTCCGCCACACCGGTCCCGTCCGTGTGCGCCGTCGGGTCGACGTACGCAACTATGTCGACTTTTTTGTCCTGCAGGGAACGTTTCGCGTATCCCCGCCGCCTGTGGATCTCTTTTCAGGGATTCGTGCGCGGAAGAGGCCTACAGATATGGAGCCCACTATCTGCTTTCGAGCGGGTTACTGGGTCTCTGACAGACCGCATGGTCCTTGGCTGCAATGCAGGCAAACAATCAACCAAGAGGGAATCTACCTTGTAACGTCTACCTCGTCCCGGCGAGCTAGAGGATTATACAAAGCAGAATCTGTTCTTGATGTGATTATTTGGTGTCGCCCTCCGGGGTACTCTTTTGTGTTAACCCTCCGGGGTATTTTGGTGTTGCCTTTTTAGGCGCATTGAGAAATCTGGCTCCAAGGAGCTTTTTGTGTCCCCACGGGGTCTTTGAGAAACCTATGCTCCAAGGAGCTTTTTTGTGTGACCCTCACGGGTTCGTCTGGGATTTTGCCCTTTTGGGGTTTTACATCCCAATGGTCGATTCGTCGACCTGGCTACTTTGTGGCCATGGTAGCGGGGCAGCTGCTGATTTAAAGTCTGTCTGGAGAAACGGGTCGCGGCGTTTAATGCTGGTGATCGCAAGAGGTGGGCGGGCGGTAGAAGTCGGACCCTTGCGCCTCCTCGTGGTGCCGCCTGGATAGTCGACCACTCCTTAGTTGGAGTGGGAGATGAACTAGATGCTTGGGACGCAATATGTGTGAGTTTTGATCTGTGCAACTGTACGATGTTGTCATGATATCGTTATGTTGAGGGATGGGATGTCATGTGCCATGTCCAGGCCAACGATTCCAGGGCATGAAGAGATCAGACTTTTAAGTGTTATGTTTAGCTCTTGATTTTATGAACACGAATGTACCAATTCATACACTGCTTTTTTTTTCCTTTGGGTCCTCATTGCCATATACATTCCACAGTACCTTTTTTTTTGCTCTTCCATTCGCTCTTCACAGGAAAACAACAACAAGCACAGCCACATGCAAACATGACTAAGTAGCATTTCCCTTCACCCAACAAAATCACCCTCCTCCTCCTCCCTTCCTCCCTTCCTCCCTTCCTCCCTTCCTCCCTTCCTCCCTTCCTCCCCCCAATCGTCAACTTTTAGCTACCCCTTTGCTCTACCTATCTTCCCTGTATACCTAGTTATGAGGCGCAAGCCAGGGCTATGTAGTTATGTCACGATACAAATGTTCACAGCGAAGAATTCAGTGGTTCATGCGTGCTCAGCAAGAGGCTGTTTTTGCGTCTTGTTGGTCGAACTGAGTGACTGATTGATTGGATACCTTGTTCTTTGGTTGATGGATTGGATTGTATTGGGACTTGGATGGTTTGTGGTTGTTGTTCTTGGGTAGGTGGTTTGAAGGGTACGGTGGCAAGGGGGAGGGGGGTAGTTGGGAAGGTGTGGGTGGTGCGCGTCATGTGTGTTGGAACTGGATGGTGGCTTCAACGGGGATTTCGGCGGTGGATAGGGCAGGGCACGGCACGGCCCTGTGCGCTGTGCGCTGTGCGCTGTGCGCAGTGGTATGGTGTTTCGCGGCTTTGCAGTGCATGGGCGAAAAGATACTGGTAGCGATCATGGTTGAGGGGGCTGGAGTGAGTGCATCAGACGCTGGTTGAGTACCGGGAATCTGTTAGGCAAGATTAGCGCCAGGGTATGAGTAACTAGTGCTACTACGGGGCGAAGACTACGCTGTGTGGAGCACACATGAGAGTGTCTACTTTGGTCCTGATGTGGGAATTTGCATTCATCAAGGAGATGCAGAGATGGTGTTCGCTTTAGAAGTTAGTTCACCTTGTGAAAATGCCGTGTAAGAGCCGGGTTCAAGAACGGTAGCTTGAAGGAGGAAGAATGCCATCTGATCATGTACTTCGTTAGCAGATCAGATTCGACTCATTACTAACACAGCTATCCCCTCGCTCGCTTCACCGGCCCGCCGTGTCTATTCTTTCCGGAGTGTTCGGCAGTGAGTGAGCATAGGATGGATGCACGGATACGCCAGGTCACATGCTTTCGCGTTTGAGATGAAACGCTAAATTAGCTCCCTATCCCGCCCCGCGTTCGTCTCCACATCTCACCACGCCATCTACAGTTATCAGCACGAGACGGTGATCAGAATTGCACAAGAGCTTCAGTTCAGCATCTCATCCTGCTTCCCAATTAGCCGTAACTATCTACATCTTGATTGATAGCATCTGAACACAATGACTGCGAGCACTCCGTCCAAGCCATTCCGCTTCGGTGATCTGCCGGCCGAAATACGACTCCGCGTGTTGTTACACAGGTATCATATGCTGATGACGTACCAATTTGTGCTAGATACGCAATAAGGTGTACCGTATCCTCCTATGCAGTTTTGCCCCGCCACCGACCGAGATCTCTTTCACAGGAGATCTGCTTGTCCCGGTCCGCGCCGAACATGCCATCGAGACGTCCATTCTGCGTACATCCAAGGGAATATATCACGAGGCCTACGATGTCATGGTGAAGACCAATCGCTTTGTCAAAATCACGTCCGAAAAAGGCCTTCCGGTGAAACCGGCTCTTTGCGGACAAATGCTCCCAATGGTCACTGATAAGAAAGATGTGGTCGAGCGCTTCAAAGGCTATGCGCTACATGTGCATCTTGGCTTCAAAAATCCTAGTAGGGCAAAGTCGAGGAACGAAAGCTGGTATAACCCCGTATCGGCCATGATTCTGCATCGCGAACTAGGCAAGTTTTGTCTAGGTGTAAACGATGGAGATGCACATAGCCCAGGCTTCAGCGAGTCTCTCAAGATCTCCATTACGATGGCGCCTGTTGTAGATGCTGCGCGAGGCAACAAGCTGATGCCTTCTTTTGACGATTTCTTCTCGCAGAAGATGCAGGAAACACTATTCGCACCCCTCAAGACTCATCTCTACGGACGCAGGGCGGTTGAGGTCAAGGGCCACGTCGATAGCTCCACTGCGACTGCTCTTCATCAGCAAATTGCAAAAGAGAAATACTCTGATCCCTCAGCAGTGCTGGCAGAGTTTACGGCTGCAAAAGAAGAAGGATCTCGTCTTTACCGCGAGCGCAAGGCCGATGACGCATGTTTGAAATGGGCTGATACCGCTGTGGAAATTGACGAGCTGCTTGAAACGAACTCCTGGCTCAAGCTGGTTAGCCAAGGGAAAGAAGATTTCGTTTCACAGCTCGCACCAGTATACTTCCTCATGCGGCTCAACATTGCCCATGTGCACATTACCAAATGGGCGGAAAACACCTTCGTGGCCGAGTCCTTGGCGGAAGATTCTCTCATGTGTGCCATCAAATCGCTCAAGAAAGACTACTGGATGAAAGGATATAAATATACGCCTTCTCGGCAGCATATGGCGAAACTGAGGTTCCGCTACGCGACGTTTTTGAGGCTGCAAAGGGAACCGGGGTCGCAAGATCGCGCACTGATGTTCATCAATGGGGCATTGGATATGCAGCCTGGAGATGCGGCGATTCTGGGGGAGAAGGAGAATATCCTTGAGTGGATGAGGCAGTCTTGATGCAACTGCAGGACCATCTTAGGTGATGTTGGGATGTTGACTTGGGTTGTTCTTTCTCTATCACTTGGATAGTATGTAGATGACAATGACTTCTTGAATGTATTTGGCATGAATTGGGTCGTTTGATTGCACTTCACAAACATTCGCGGACTGTAACATTGTTAGGTGAGAGAATTTTAGTGTACCTGACCTGAATCTGAACACCTGTATTCTAACGTCTTGGTGTATAGCAACAAATCTTTTAGAGCTAATGTGCTCTTATCTTTTCTTGCAAAGCCTCTATACAACAAATAATTATAATGTGCGAAAAAGAGCCCCTGATAGTTTGGTCATGACATGCATAGTAGTCGTGGTTGCCTGTTCGGTCGTTTGCTCAGTGCCTTTACCTTCATCTCGCGCCTGTCACTGCCCCACCTGGGCCCTTGCGGTGAATGCCAAGGCCACTAATCCATGCTTTCTCTTTTGGCTGGCTCATATATCAGCAACACGTCCCCGGTCGTCTGCTCTCAACTCTATTCTATCAACTTTCTCCTCGTTACCCAACTTGCGTCCAACAGTCATAATTCCAACAGCACCAGCACTATGGCTTTGACCAACGATGCTCAACCTTTCCGCTTCATGGATTTGCCTGGAGAGATCCGCAACAAAGTTTATGGTTTTCTTCTCTGCGCGTTCGATGAAGCGCCTGAAGAGTATGATCCGGGTGACTACTTGCTAGCGTGCCCTACCCGCAACTTCACCTTCGTTACCCACTCTGTCGACACCGCCATACTTTGTACCAACAGTAAGATCCACCGTGAGGCCTACGACTTCATGGTCAAGACCAACCGATTCGTTCGAGTCAGCTGCCTTCGCGGCTTACCTATTATAACAATGTTGCGGATCCATCGAGTGCCTGTCGTTACTGTCCAACGCTCCCTAGAGCATTTTAAAGGGTTGGTAAGTTTCATCCAACCTTTATAGACGGCTACTGAGCATCGCCATCCGTAGGTACGTACTGGATATTACTTTCTCTCTCTCCAAGCCTGCGTGTTCTGGCCTTTTCAATGATTTACCACCAATGAGCGCAATGATGCTGGCCTGTGACCTCGGAATATTCTGCAAGAGCATTTCATTTGCTCTACAAGCGTTACCAGCGTATAAGAGCGGTGGAAAACTCGAAATCGATGTAGGGCCTGTGTGCGCACAGCCGAGCGTCAGATACAAAGACGACTTGACAGACTTCTTCTCGGATACCACACAGAAGGTACTACTGAACCCTTTGCGCACCCTCAGAAACCACAAGATCGTTGAAGTACGTGGTTCTGTATCGAAAGAACTGGCAGCCGCTGTCAAGAAGGAGATGGTTGCGGAAGATTGGAAGAATCCCACTGAGATTCTGAAAGCTTTAACCGCCAAGAAAGACCAAGGAATGGAAATGTATCATCAGAACGACTTCCCCATGGCCACTGAATTTTGGGTGTCAACCGCAATGGAAATCGAAAGCCTTCGCAGAGGCCCACTATGGAGCCAGATGCTACTGATGGGTGGCGAGCAATTTCTTAATGAAATTGCTGACCTGCAGTTCAGACTTGGCATCAACCTGGCCCTGTCCACCATCAGGGCGATGAACAGTTTCTCACCAATTACCCTGGAAATTGAAATCGACCTCGAGTCACTGAAAATAAAAGCAGAGCAAGGAATCATAGTATCGGCGACATGCTCAGCTCCTGATTACTGGCAGAAGGGGTTTACGTGGGAGTGCCCCGACGTGCTGCGAGCAAAGCTTTTGTATCGCAAAGCCGTATGCACCAGACTTTGGGGAGAGAAGAACGAGGCAGATAGGGCTCTCGAACTCCTCCATGACGCGTTGGAATTGGTACCTGGTGACCCCCTGATCTTAAGAGAGCTACAGAACGTCATCCAGTGGTCTTCGGGTCACTAAAAGCTTTCCCGCGGGCGAAGTCCGACACTCCTGAGATTGGGAGTTGGAACTCTACGGACGATGAATTGCATCTGAGGACTACCAGGAATTTGGTTGTGATGGGGAGTATGCCAAGCCAACAGGTCATCGCTACCATGCATTATACCGCGACATGGCCTGCAGCGTTGGACTACTGCAATGAGATTGGAGCAATGAGCAAGATTCTTAATGGATCCACCAAGTAGCATATCACATCACGAGCAAGACGGATAGAAATCAAGAATACCCAAGTACCATATTACTCATATCCGTACGTACTGCATAATGCATCTAGATACCCGAATCGCCCCACTCCTTACGAATCATCTCAGCCCCCTTCTCAGCCACCATGTAGATACTCGCCAGGATATTAGCATCGGGCAGCACAGGCACAATACTGCAGTCCACGACCCTCAAACCATCGACGCCATAGACCTTAAGCGTGTTGTCCACGACACCGCCATCTTTCTCCGGCAACATGCGGTTGGTACCAGTGGCATGCCAATTGGGCATGGTATTCGCTTTGATGTAGTCCAAGATGGCCTTGTCGTCGTTATCCGCAACGGCAGAGCCAGGGCTTACTTCGCCGGCATTAGGCCCAATGGTATACTGGGCGAGGGCTGGGTGGCGCAGGATCTTGCGCAGGTACTTGAAGGACGCGATGCCGACGGCGGCGTCGGTGGGATCTGCGTAGTAGTTGCTGTTGATGAGCGGCTCGTCCGTCATGGATGCGCTGCGCAGCGTCACGGTGCCGCGCGACAGCTGCACCATGCTGGATGCCGTGACGGAAATGTACGACTCGTTGGCCAGCGGCGTCCAGTACGGCGTCGGGATCCACGGGTACCACACGCTTTCAAACAGATACTCGACGTGGGTTTGGTTGGCGAGGCCCGCGTCAATAACGGCTTGCGCGCCAATGTCGCGCAGTTCCTGCTCGCTGAACTTCTGGAACCCGTTGGTCACGCCAGAGGGGGCTGTGTACGGGCCCGTCAGGTTGCTGTAGTATTCGTCCTGGGCTTTGCGCAGGTTCGCGGGCGTCCGCGACATGTCGGTTGTGGAGGCCGAGTCGACGGCGCGCGCCATGATGGAAAAGACCGAGTGGTCGTTGAGGTGTTGGCCTACGTTTTCGTTGACGACGACGGGGGTGACGCCGACTTTTTCGAGCTGTGCCTTGGGACCGATGCCAGAGAGCATGAGGAGTTGAGGCGAGTGGAAGGCCCCCATGCTGACAATGACTTCTTTTTTGGCGCGAGCCATGTTGACGAGACCGGTTGCGTGGCGGACGTAGCTGACGCCCATGGCGCGAGGTCGACTGCTGCTGGAATTCGAAGGCTTGCTCAGCATGATACCAGTAACAGGTGCGTCGTGCAGGACTCTCAGGTTGCCACGGTTGCGGGCCTGTCCGTAGAAGCTGTTGTAGCTAGAGCTCCTTCGAAGCCTGCTGTCGAGCGTCGTGGTTCCGTGCTTGACACCATGGCCGTCTCCCAGGTTCAAGTCGTTGACAATGGGGATGTTTGCGGCTTCGCTGCAAGCTACGACGAAGCCGCTGGTGGAAGGGGGAACGTATCCTTGGAAGCCCAGTTGGAGTGGACCGTCGCTATAAGCACTAGCTTCGAAAGTCTTGTATTGTTGAGTGAAAGCTGCTAGCTCCTTGGTCGAAGAGGGTGAGTTGATCTTTGTGCTCTTTCGGAACAGAGGCCACACGTCTTTCCAGCCCCATCCTGCATTTCCAAGCTTCTCCCAATGGTCATACACGCTGGCTGAGCCACGAGCGTAGTAAAGACCATTGGTCGTGCTGGAGCCTCCGAGACCTCTTCCACGAAGGTACTGCAGAGTGCGGTTGTTCAAGTGCTGTTGAGGCTCTGTGATGAGACCCCAGTCGATGATACTGCCCTTGATGAACTGGTTGCCTCCTGGTGACTCGTATGCCAGTACTTGCTCTGGGCTTGGCCCAGCTTCGAGAACTAGCACGGTGAAGTTTCCAGATTCCGTCAGGCGATTTGCCAGGACCAATCCAGCTGTTCCTCCTGTATGTTGTTAGCACGTACCCTCAATAGATGATCCTAGATCATGCGGGTGGCATCAAGTGTAATCAATAGGGAAAATAAGACGGAGACGAATGGAACCTACCTCCAGCAATGATAAAGTCATACTCTTCGTTGAAAGCTGGGTCGGATTGTGCACCGCCCTGAGGCGGACCATCTGGCTGTGATTGACGCTTTGCGAACTGGGAGTTGTATAGATTGAACGTGGGCCACGCTGAACTTGTTTGGAGTAGCGAGAGCGTCAACAGGGCCCAGGCCGATGTCCGGCCGAGAGTAGAATGACGCATCTTGAATCTGGACGACCTCATGTGTGAGCGTCATGTACAACAATCGAAATGAATGTAGTATAGATGCCGCACAAGGTGATACTTACTACTCGTGTTCAAGCTACGAGGTATGACACGTTTACTGGTTGTTTCTATAGTGTACTCTGCGTTGTGGAGCCCGCAGCTTCACCACCGAACTCCCGTATACAACTACAGTGAATATACTCTAAGATGAGCTTTGGGGGCGAGAAGTCCAAAGGCTCTTGCCAAGGGAAAGCACAAGAGTGACAGCAAGGGAGAGGCGACTAAGAGACGTAGCTCTTTATATCATCTCATCCGTCCTGGCTTCTTGGGTACATCTGCCGCCCCAACAGCCAAGGCCCAATAGAGTGCCCTTCCTGGGTCTTAGAAGACCAAGCAGACAGTGCATTCATAGACCAGTCTTCTGACAGAAGCCTCGCCGTCAGCCACGCCCTGTTTCCCGGATAACCCTGGTAGAAGCTCAGCCCACTGTGGTTCTTTGAATCCACTCATGCCTTGCAGGAGCGGGGTTGGCTATTATCAGCCGTAATTTTTCCTTGGGATCGATGCTTACACTCCGGAAGGGGCGGCTTCTGAGAGCTATTCATGATCGAGGGTGTAACCCTGGTCATTTGAATGAATATCCCTACAGCAGAAGCATAAGCCGGAATACTGCTGGACAACTTCAAGTGACGTCAGGGAAAGTATTAATGTACTACTGTACTTCAACGACTGCGTGTGAAGATGTAGTATGGACTTTGCTTGGGCCAAGGCAGCATCAGGTATTGCCCAGCCAGAGGTTACGCAGGATTGGGGCTCGGTACCGATCTCAAGAACACTCCGTAAGCATGCCGAGCACGCCGGTCAGGACTGACACACGTGAGAAGACACTGCGTTGTTGGTACAGACCGGCGATAGGTGTAAACATGGACCGGCGTCCCTCGGATGTGCGGGGAAGCCAAGACTTTATGCAAGTCGAAATCGAGCGACACGCAATCCGTAAACACTGAGGGAGTTGATGGTGCACAACGATACTCCACATGCGTCCCGGCCGAGGTATCGTCCGAAAGGCCTTGCCACACGTGAGTGACGTCGCGTTCCAACCATGTCAGGCCTGAGTTGAGCTTCCCGGAACCATGGTTATCCATGTCCATTCTCACCACGAACATCTTATCCTACATAACTCAGTGTCACAAGCTGCGCATTCGTCCAAGTCTGACTTCTGAATAGCATCCTTGAATGTATGCTGGGGTCCAATACTGCACTCCCTGATTGCCGCCATTGTTGGGACTCCGCGATGCCGGTAAATGAGCAGCTAGGGCTTTTCGAAAGTCAAAACTGACATGTAAAGCGAAGATAACGTAAGCATCCTCTTGGGCAAGCAAACGATGCCTGTCAATAGAGCGGTATCTAACAACGGGGCTTCGTCGCGAAAGAGAAAGTGGAGCGTGTTCCTGGTAATGGTCAGCCGAGTGATCAACAGTACAATGTCAGAAATCGATTTGACAAGGATACAAAGGAGCGTCAGCAACCACACACGTCGAAGAATGAAGCGTCTTGCACATGCAACATACTCGATTTCATTTGGATATGAAGAGCTCTTCCCCCTGGACATGGGTTCTGGAAATATATTCCGGTTGGTACTCTGCATTAACATGGTACAATGGTAAGGCCGCAGACCACCATGGTTGCCAACGTGTTCGCCAATAATTGATTATTATCTCGTCATGCTGTCCTGGCCTGTCCCCTATCGCTTCGAAAGAACATCCTGTGCACCGTCTTTTACTCTCTGCGCAGCGTTGGCGACGGTGTCCTTGGTGAGGGCGAAATGTGAGCCGAAGCGATCCTACAATGACGTTAGTATGCAGTTGCCAACCAAACCGCCATGGAAAGCTTACCTGTTCAGCACCCATGCCGCTACCAGCCATGAGTTTGGCCCGCTGTTGGCCATCGTACCCCAGTCCAAACCAACTGGCATTCTTCTCCCCATTGGCAACGACACTTCCCGCCGCCTGTACTGCCTTGACAGAGTCAACGCTGTGCAGGGCAGGGCTAAAGTGCGCATTGTATCTGTCTTGCTCGGCGCCGTCGCCCTGATACTTTGCAGCTTCCATAATGGCCCTGTACCCGCGATCGCCAATGCTGAGATGAGAAGCGTAGCGATCTTGTTCAGCACCCGAGCCGGCAGCCATGGCGGCATTGCGGAGCTTCTCGAGTCCCTCGTCGACACCGCGCCTGATGGCATCCGACGAAAAGTGCTGACCATAGCGGTCTTGCTCGGCGGCAGAACCATATTGTTTTGTGACGTCGACATTGACAGGGTGCGTCGCCGCCGCGGACTTCTCGTCGGAGCTGAACCAACCCATTGTGTGCAAGATTGTAATGAAGGGGGTGGATTGGCTGGAGTTTCTGATGAGAGTAGTTGCTGTAGAGCGGGAATTGGGATTGCAGTGTGAGTGAAGAGGGCTGGGAAAGAGAGAAGTCGCGTTATGTATTGTGGGTAGCTGGACCTGCGGAGAACGATGACGTAGGAACTAGCAAACCTCGGGGCCAAGATCCTGGTCGCGTTCCTGGTTTCCCATGTGGAGATCCGTCCCAAAGGGGATCTTCGCAACGCCAGCGGAATAGCGACAACACCACAGAAATCAGAATACGCCAGAGTGCCGAATGCTTACTGCTTAGCGCTGAGCGAATTCAGACTCGGTTCTTCTCAAGCAATGTCTGAGTCCAATGCTTGTTGTGAGCGTTGTGGCGACAAGAGCAGGTCTTTGCATTGCTCAGACATGCACGTGATCATTACTCATCTTTGCCTGTACCAACAATAAATTCACTACCCAGAGCTAAACCACGGTCCGTGAACTTGCTTTTGTTGCCCGCAAAGCCTCGGCAACAAAGTTTCCGGCCATCAGATGCGTCAGTTTTTTTCATTCAGTTCTTCGCAGATTTTCCCGTTGCATTGGAGGTACATTTACATGATGCCGACTCACCCAAAGTCCGACACGGGATCCTCGTGTATCTTGTATAATACTCAGAGAAGAATTAATTATTTTCTTTTGTAACCTATCCATGCGAAATTGCATGGTAGGAAGTTAATAGTGAGGTAATATTTATCAACAATTGCATACACCGGGCCATTTGTCTCCTGACTGTTTTTAGTTGACCATTGCGGTGCGTAAGTGTCGTTACATATCGAAAACACCTGTATTGATAGCTTACAACTCCCTGGAAAATAACGCTGCGCTAGTAATGCTCGTTATGGATGAGCTATTTTAGAAAGTGAATAGATGCAAGCAGCTGCGTGGGACAAACGTCGTGCTTGCCTTGCGCACTCGCCTTCACCTTCGTGTTTGTTCCAAAAGACCAAACTACAAAGGAAGCAACTCGACCGCAAAGCTGCTCTCTTACCACAACCACAGCCATTTTTGCCTTTACACCTCCTACAACACATTTCGCTTGCCTTTCTCTATCTCACACCAGTATTACAATGACTGACCCAACGTGCGCCCTTTGTGGGAACCCAACCTCCACCAAATGTGGTGCCTGTGAGTCGACTACCTACTCTCGCTACTACTGCAGCAAAGACTGCCAGGTGAAAGACTGGCCCGACCACAAGACAGAATGCAAGGAACATCAGATCCTATACTTGGAGAAGCCTCTGAAGAGAATCGCCGAAATTGTCCAGCAAGCTTACTACGACTTCCGCATGAACACTTGGGATACACCTATTACCAGGGTTGTCGAGGGTGATAGCGTTCTCATACTCCAGGACGAACTGCTGCGCGACGAGGAAAAATTCTTCGTAAAGTTTCCTGGTCATCTTACCGAGAGCGAGCGGACCAAGAAGACCATGCTTTGCTCTTGGATATACAAGGAGACGACGGCATGGATGTACAATCTCATTTTGGGATTGGTCAAGGGTAAGTAAATGCCTATGACCTGGCGGGAACTCGCTGACAACGGTTTGACAGGACTTGATGTAAAACTTGAAGAAGCCACAGTTGATCTTGGCACTATTAGTCGAATGGTCACCGCTTTCACTCCCGTCGGAGATCGCCATGACAACTGGCCGGATTACTTTCACAATGTTCTCTTCGTTAGTTCTACCAAGCCCAAGAAGAAGTGGGTTATCGATATGGCTGGTGCTCAGTACGGAATCTATAATGCATTCTGGGATTGGACCGACTACAAGACATACTATGGCGTGAAAGTCCAGGCTGCCTATCCTTTCGGAACAAACAGAGATCTCCTGAAAGAGCGAGCCAAGGCCCGCGGTAACCCTTTTATGACATTTGGCGTCGTGGGAATTGTAGCCGCCCAACTCGATGTGGCGATCGAGAAATGGGTTGAGAGCCGTGGTATGAGTTTGGCCCAGATGATCGCGTTGGATGAAGATGCCTACGAAGAAGCTAAAAAGAGCCTGCTGGAGAGCATGGACAGTGCTGTTAGCTCATATGTCGCCACAAACGACTTCGACGCTGAGTTCAAGGCGGCAAAGGATTACGAGCGGATGAATCCAGGAAGGAGTGGAATCGAGTGTCAGGCTATCGATGCCGTCTTTTACAAGGGACGTTAGGGTCTTGCTCGTAACAGAGTATTCCCACGACACTTCATCCTATCGTCTGGATTGACTTCCTTGACTTCTTGCAGTGCTTCGCGATACTCCATAGAAGGAACGACAGCCTTGGGAAAGATTCGAAGAAAGAAATCATGGGTTAGGAGAAAGGGTCACTGACGGCTTGCTGAGAGTTGTTCTTTGATAAAGATTTTTAGCACACAAGCTTTCTAGTAGCTGTTTGATTCTTGAGATAAAAAAATAAGAATCAGAATATCTCTCGTGATTGATCAACTGTCCTTTTTTCCGACGCGTTTTGAATCGCATACTTGTAATGCATGCCAATCAACTGTAACAATGAGCAACCCAACATGCATGTGTGAAGGAACTGAGCCCTTTCATGACTGCGCGAGATTTCTAGTATCGACACCGAAAAAACGACACTCCCTAAGATATTCCAAACCTCAAGCCGCTCACATGCATAAGCACGGAGCTCAAAGTCCGTAGAATATCTAGCCAGAGTTTGTTTACCCGGCAGCGTTTAGCCTAGGGCGCATCTTTTGCCGCACATGGCCTCAGCAACAGCATCGATACGAGAAGCCAGAAAAAGAATTAGCTTTCTCCCACTCCCAAGTGAACACGTGGGGGGGAGGGTCGATGTGAGACGGTTGAGGCAATTTGTTTCAATCAGCGTTGCGAAGTTAAGCGAGCCGTTTCGCATCATTAGGCTCGCGATCGCTGGCGCCGGTCAAGAACCTGGAAAATGCGCAAACAACATCGGGCCGCCGGTACGTTTGTACGTAGTCCCAACGTTAATCATTGGGGGGAGCCGTCGCACCAGCTCAGTTTACATCGACCAGGATCGACATGAAGCTGGGAACCAAAGAAAAAAAAGCATTTCGTCACGTTATTACGGCACCTCAGACTTGCATGCATGCAGGAAGATTGAAATGATAGATTATACATTGAAGAATATCGACATTCGTCATGCCGCAGGAGTCGATGCTCACTGAGTAATTTCTAGGATATCATCATGTTCAGTGCCTCTTGCTCTTGATTCCCTTGAGGAAGCCAAAGTAGGCGGGCTTCTTCTGGTAGTTCTCGTCCCAGAGGAGAGCAGCGCCCTCGCCGGTGAAAACACCTGGAATCCAGGAGTACTTGTCGGAAATACCCCAGACGGTCATTCCAATGCATTTCTTGACTGCTATGCAGGACTTGGCAACGCGCTCGAAGGCGTCGGCCTGGACCTGGAGCTTCTCGGGTGTTGCGAGAGTGTTCATGCGGACGTCAATCTCCGTGTAGGCAACCTTGACACCAAGGTCGGCAGTGTGGCGAAGAGCAGCCTCGAGCGTAGCCTGGTCGGGAGTGACGCTGCTTGCCGTGGGAGTAATCTCGCTGGCCAGATGGGCCTGGTAGCCAACACCGTCAATGCGGACACCGTAGGACTTGATGAGCTCAACAATGCGGGCGGCACCGGCAGTCTTGTTCTGGTTGTACTCGAGGTTGTAGTCGTTGTAGAAGAGCTCAGCCTTGCCACGGTACTTGTTGGCAAGGCGGAAAGCAATGGGAAGGAACGCCTCGCCGATGGTGTTGTAGAAGACAGACGGGCGGTAAGTTCCATCCTCGTTAAGCGCCTCGTTGACGACGTCCCAGCGTGTGCAGACGCTCTTGTAACGGGTCATTAGGGTCTTGATATGGTTCTCCATGATGCCAATGAGGGTCTGGTTGTCGAAACCGCCGTTGGAGACCCAGAGAGGAAGTTGGGAGTGCCAGACCAGAGTGTGGCAGTGAACCTGAAGCTTGTTCTGCTTGGCGTATGCGGCATAGCGATCAGCATCGTTAAAGGTGAAGTTGTTGCGAGATGGTTCGGTCGACTCCCACTTCATGGCGTTCTCAGGGGTAAAGCCGTTGAAGTCGGACTTGATGATGGCGTCTTCCTCAGAAGAGTTCCTGAGAGTCAGAGCAGTTCCCATAAACTGCTTTCCTGCAGCGAGCATAGACTTGTAGAGGCTATCAGGAGAGTCATTGGGTGGAGGAAAACTACAAGAATGTCAACACATGACGACTATGGTCAGATGTAGAGATTTACTTACGGGCTAGCGAGAGCAGAGTTGGCAATGGCCAAGCTGGCCAGGACGTTAGAGAAACGCATTTTGTCCGATGTGGGTAGTTGTTTTTGGTGAGAATTGCCTGCCACAAAGGATTCAAAGTGATTGACCTCTATGTCTATATATACGTCTTTCGACGGTTATTCTAGAATCCTAGCGGCTGCATATTCAATAGATCTTTCCGCTTCTACGGGAAGTCTCCGCGTCAACAGGGCAGATTAACCGGGTCTGTGGCTCCTGCGCAGATATGCATGTCTGCTTGGTGTGTTCTTCGACTACAGCCCGTAGCGCCACTTCTTGGCCATATGTGGAGATTCTCCAGACCAATCCACAATACAACCGGCTTGGACCTCGGTACCACCGGGCCCTGTTCCTCCGTGTATGTTAGCCTTTCCAGGCAGGGATTTTGTGGCTTAGGCGAGGGCGCACATCTGGGGTAAACAGTAAACACCCGGCATGCAGGTCCCACTCGCCTGGACAGCAGTGAATACAGTTTTGGTGGCGAGAATGACCAAAGCTTGCCGGTTAAATGACATGTGCATGATGTCCATCGCCTATGCCCTTTTACCCAATGAGACTAATTAGTCGCAAATAGGTCATGGTAAAAGGGATGACAGATGGCCAAGTGAGAGTGCTTCGTTGCTGGACCATATGAAATGATTGACCGGTTGCCTGAGCCGCCCTACTTAGGCATGATCAGCATGCACAGCCATCATCCTGCGGCTGACGTACATTGAGCTAACACCTAACTTGAACGAGTAATCAGTCTTGTTTCCTGGCATGTTTCATGATTCCGCAAGGCTACCGCAGTGCTCACCGGCAAATCTCGTAGGTGTTGGAGTTGGTTCCATGACGACGGAGAGGGCCGTGTGTCTGAGGCAGTGGTGAAGCCACCGCCTGCCGTCTGCTGTTTTAGCCCAAGAAACTACAATGTGAACGCCCCGCACCAATCACCATCGGCAAATAGTAGCCATTTAACCGACGACGCACCAACTCCTCCAAGTCGCACGCTCGGCGTCCTTCGCAAACGGGACCCCAAGCAGTCGTCGTGTCAATAGGAGATCATGTGACGGAATGACGGGTGGTTAAAATGCTCATGCTAGCTATCAATCACGTCAAGACATTTTCGCGACACCACAAACACCACTCGCGATGTTAGCTGGTCTTGCACACAACGTGTCGAGATCATTAATTGCTTGGCCTCATGTATGAAATGAGAGTGACATGCTATGGCATCCATTTTAGGCCAGGATTGCCGTAGGCTTGCTAGCGCTTGCATTTGTCCTTGTTGGATCCCATCGCCCTATCATTGCTGAAGAACCAATATGACACAGGAAATTGATGCTTACCTACCTGTTGAAGTAAGCGTTGAGTTGGCTCATCAGATATTGACCTAGCATGCCTTGACCTGGACATAACGAGCTTGTGGCCTCGCCCAGAGACTGTAATTCATCACTTTACCATATGTGAATGGTGTATGTATACGCTGGAGCTCAATAGAAAAAAAGCGACGCGGAAATGGTCATGGGGCAGAAGCCAGTGGTTCTTGAAGATGGTGTTTGAATGTTCTTCATCTACTGTTGCCCAACCAATGCCGCGCTACGACATTCCACCATGACAATCGTTTCCACAAGCACGCCTCGTTCTCCAATTGATGAAATTAATGCTATTATTTGGCTCCCTTCACAATTGTGCGAGAACTGGTGTAGTCAAGTGGTGGCTATGAGTTGTAAAAGTTCGATAAAGATGCCAAAAAGAAGTGAGAGGTGCGTTGGAGCTGAAGCCAACATACCATGCGCAAATCAGAGATACCTCTCAAACGCCAACACTTGAACGCCATTGCAGTGTTTGGAGATGTTTAATTCAATAATAAAGATCTTGGAAGTTCTTTGCGGCCTCTGCCGTGGTCAAGAGTTTGGCTGCTCATTAGTACGAAGGCATTCATGTCTTCGCAATTTACAATATGTTCTTTGAATGATTATACAGCATTTAACTTACAATTACTTGCTTAGAACTCTTGGTGTATTGCAGCAAGTATTTCCAATCTCTCCAATCCCTCGAGCAATAACTCAAATCTCAAAGTGAGGATTTTCTATCGAGCCCGAACCTCACTCAAGTTCTTCGATCAAGTACTTAATACAATAAAGCTAGTCTTCATCACTCACATTACAGAAATGCCCGGTTGCATGGGAAAAGATCGTGGCAAGTCTGAGCAGGACGAAACACCACCAAACCGACCAGTCAATTTCAACCGCCGAGGATGGTGCGCGGGATGCGTGCGGTTAGGACTCGCTAAGCCTTCACCCAGTGGGCATTACCATGCAGAGCGCTGTGTGATATGTGCTCCTCAAAACAAAAAGAAGTAGCAGCATGAAGGCAGTTTCTCTAAGATAGTAAAGTGGTTGGGAATGCGGCTAGGACAAAGGCGAATCAACTAGGAGCGGATATGTTCATTAAATGTTTCTTTTTTTACAGTTCTAGTATGAAACCATTTAACTAGCAGCTTAGCTTGAATATCTACACAAGTGGTGTTGCTACTACGGTGACCGACGTTCGTGCCACCATGTCACATTACACGAAATGGTGAGACGCGACAATGGCAATGAAACGTCATTCCAGTAAATGAAACTCTCCTCTTCCAAGTAAACTCTCCTTCAACAGTGAAACGATTTGCCAGCCGTGGACTACACAACTTTAATCCAAGGCACATAAAACCTTGCTTAGCTTCGCTATCGAGAAGTGCTCCCTTTCATTTGATCGACCCCGACCCAACTGGAATGCTGCACAGAATTTTACTTTCCCAAAACTCAAAAACACGACTATCATCATGGACGATGCGCATATCACGGAAAACGCCATCAAAACAGAGCGTGAAAATGCTTTAGCGCTCCTTACTAGTGGCCGAAAGGATTCCATCGAACCCTACATCGAACCCTCCATCAAATTTGTATTGGACGACAAGCATACGAAACGGGCCAGCTCATTCACTCTTCCTCAACCTCCATTTATATTGGGTAATATATTCGAAAAACCAAACTTTCAGGGGCATCTACAGCGAATTCGCACGACACCATCGTCTGACCTGCAGACCCACGATGATCCACCATCGCCTTCGGAGTCTGAAATGATGCTGAAAATTGGTCTTGATCACGAAGAACAACACACAGTGTTCTTTTCCGAAAACCAGATGCCCTATAGGAGAGCGAATGGGGAGCCCTGGCCTCGCATACACATGCTGAGAAAGTCGGTGCAGAGTGAGGGTGGGGTATCCGGACAACCAAACCAGGAGCATTTTTTCGACGAGACGAGCAGCAGATCGCGAAGGCTATGCTACGTCTATGATCGGCTGAGACTCGGGCGGACATTCAGCGTCCAAAGCAGACCTTCAGCGCATGAAGAAAGCAATCCCAGTATCGTTATCGAGCGGCCATCCTCCGAGGTTGTTTCGGACTTCGTGGATGAAGGTTTTCATGCAGGATCCCTTTCACCACAATTTAGCCCGACCCAAGTAGCCGATATGGTTAGCCAGCTACACATGCTTTCCCCTCGAAGCAGTGAAATACCGCAAAATATCGGCTGGCGATTCAGCAACGACTCTGGATTACCGCCTCAGAAGAACGCCTGGAAGTCTAGCGACAGCTTTGGCCCAGAAGCGGTTTTGGGGATAACCAAGCACATGACTGTTGAGAATACTGAGCACATCGATACGAGCATTCCGGTCAACACAAGGATAGTTGCGGAACAACCCTATCTAAGCCAGCCTCCCCATGAAGCATACGCTCCAACAAAGACCCTGCATGCGAAAGTCGACTCGTTCGATGCGCTTAATCCTAGCTCGTCCCAACATCGATTGTTTCCGCCATACAATCAGGTCCCTCAGTTTGAGGAGCAAGAGTGGCCCTTGGTTGACTCAATACCAGTTGAAGTGAGTATTTTTCAGCAGAGTTTTTCATATGTTTGCTGACAGCGTTCCAGAATGTTCGCACAGCACCGACGGATCTGAAACAACCCCTTGCAATGGCTCCGCCATTCCACTATGTACCACTTGTTGTGATCCCGAAAGAGGCATATGTCGGAAAGGCCTCCTTGGTGAATGAAGAGGAGTTGAAACCACCCAAGCATGGCCAGAGGAACCGCCAATGGTTCCGCAATATTTTTCCGTCAAAAGTACTTCGCGATCGTTCTGTGTAGGCTTTTTTGGGGCTATAGCCCAGAAGGAATTAATAAATGTAGCTAGTGCCGATGAGCAATTCTTGAAAAACGGAATTAAATATTATTTGATCGCTCCAACCATTACGTGGTTAGCGTAGACCCTTCTCATTCGCCCCTAAGATTGTGAGACTGACGAAGCTTAACGAAGGCAATCTTTTACTTGCCTCTTCAATAAAGCAGCTTTCGTGGGTGGGGAAGTAGCGCTTAAATCTGCTACTAATACATGTTCACATCGAAGCTCGACTGACAGATACCCAGGTACCGCTTCGATAGCTCCTGCATGCATCCAACATCAGCTGTGTTGATGGTCATATGAAACATGATGAATGATAAGAGACAGAGTTCTCGCATTACATGTCTTAACTCATCGTCCCTTGACTGTGTAGGCGATTCGTTTTTGCAGCCGAATGGAGATAATGCTTGTACACGTGATATGGTCTTGGCGCAGCGTTTCACCTGTATCCTAGTAGGTGTAGCCTGATTGGGTGTGCCAAGACCGCGCACCTGGCCACCCGTAGAAGCGACCAGTCCCTGCTCTTTCACTCCAACCATGCACCTCTCCAACAGCAACCTCACGCCCTCTCGCATATTGCTGGAATGATCGCCGACATACGATTGATGACCGTTCATCAAAGCGCTCCCGCTTTAACGCCGCAATGGGCCCTGCTGCGGCTGGACGCATTGCGCAACATCCCAAAATCCCATCGGCATCTCGGAACCACTGCAATCAACACCACGAGAGCTCGACAAACTCGGCCGCAACCTCAGCTGTTGGACAAAGCTCAAGCCGGAAAAGCTCTTTCTGCTCAGCAACTTCGACACGTGCTCACGACAGCCAGTACCAGTACACTCCGCAGAGCCATCTGGAAGATAGACGAGACATGACAACCTACTATTGTTATGGGAAAGATGGCACAGTCACAACTTCCTTGCTGGATCCCAACGCCCAGGTCTTCACACGTGGCCATTCAAGTATCACGTCGTATGAGCAACAAGGAGACATTGTTGGAGCCTATCTTGCACGTCGCGACATGGGCTACCACGTGCCCACTGAACAAGAGACTTACCACTATCAAGCCCCTCCAATCAAGCCATGGGGCCGGGCATCCGGCAACAGTACCATTCCAGAGCCCATGGAGCGAAGCTATTGGTCCAGCGATGCACACGAGTCATCTGGTTACCCAGGTAGCTCACGTGCTGAGGTTGTCAGTACGCTGGGCTATGCTGGCTCGGCCTCCCACCCAAGTATAGCTCAGTATTATCCAGACCCGGAAGAAATTCGCCACATGCACACGTTGCATAGCCTACTGCCGTATCTGCAGCCCGGGCGGAAGATGAACGCACTAAACGGACCGAAAGTCGATATCTTCGAGCAGGATACGGGGGTTGTCCTCGCCCAGCAAGTTTCAAAGAAGCTGTTGGTCATGTTTCTCGGTCGCAGGGTGGTTAACAAGTACATTCGCACTTTACACCGTGAAAACGTCGAGGAATGCAGTGGTTCAGCAGCATGCCAAGAAATCAGTCTACCGCGTGGGAAAAGCTGCAAAGCCGCAATGGCAGTGTTGATTTCCTGGATGGCAAGAGCTTGTCGATACCGCACCATGAATACCATGACGCAAATTCGCGTTCCGAAGAGCACATTTGTTGCCTGCTCATTAGCTCAGACAATGGAGATGTTCGAACTTCACAAGGATGCCCTCCGAGTTGACCATTACATAGCGCAGACGCATTTCACTCGGCCAATCTTTGCAGTGGAGCTGGAGGCTTTGTGGAATTGCCTTGGTGAAGCGAATCGGTACGTCTACGCAGCTATCAAGGTTGTTGGAAAGCGGATACAAGATTCCGAGAGACCTGGGTCCAGATCAGTTCCGGGCATCAATTACGAAATGTACGCTATGCTGAAAAGGCATCCGCGGCTAGAGGCTCGTGTGCGCGATCTAGAGTTGAATGAACAGCATCGACCAACCTTCAGTACCATCTGGACCAGGAAGCTAGGGGATGGAAAAAATGATCAAGAAACGAATCAGCTCCAGGGTGTAGGTGTTGGGCACAGCAGCGCAACATCCGAGAAGTCTAGCAAAGATTTGCCAACAAGAGATCAGAGTCAGAGTCTCATGGCAGCCGGTGTTGGAGATGCGACACGTGGCTTTGAAGCTTTAAGCATTGTTTCAGCTGTTGGAGAAGAGTCGGTATCCTATGTGGGAACCAGTAACGAAGCAAGTCAGACAGAAAGGAGCATCCTGCCATGCGATGATAATGAGGTTCGCAATGGTGGCATGGAAGAAGCACACCAACCGACCACATAATCATCGTTTGTTAATCTTAATCTTGGATCGGAGGCAAGACATTGAACAAGTTATCGGGAGCTTCCATGAGTTTTCGCGCCAGGAGTCTTGAATTGGGAATCTTACTCTCTTGATGCATTGAGCTCGGCGTTTTTGAATTATACAAACGCTGGACCTGGTTTTCGAGTGTTTGGCAGTGGGAGGCGTACTTTATTTACACTTTAGAGCTGTGCTATAAAGCCACAATAACATACATCATAGTACTAGTGTTGAAGCGTGAGGACGCAGGAGCCTGGAGCTCATCATTGTTCCTATTGCAAATCTTTCCGACCAATCGGACGCACGATGATTTATCTTGTATACTAGCGAGCAGAGTGAACACTAGAAGGATTCAAATGCCGAGCCACAGAAGAAGCAGCTCAGAAAGAATTTAATTAATATATGCAGGTCCGAGATTATAGAAACTTGACAGTGTGTCCAACGTACCGTAGTCCAACAAGCTCATCGTAGTACGGTACGTTGGACGCGCTGAAACTTGAATCGTCAATTTCGCGACTTTTATACGAACGAACCAAATCCTGGATTTCCCTCTCGCCTCACTGTTCAAAGTTTCGGAAATGTTTGCATAGCTTTAGCTAGAAGGGGCAGCTGATTTGTTCTTCATGGCATATCCTGTTGTGGTTCAAAGTTTTTGGTCGTGTTCCTTTCACTACATTTACTTCAAGTATTGGCTTTCACATGATACAGGGTTTCATGACGCAACGGCATTAAATCATCTGAAGTATCATACAATTCACAAATAGGTAAGTATAGAGAAGGAAGGCTACTGGACTATATGTCTCATAGTACGCTTCAACGTACAGGCTCTTCAAGCTCACCTAGTGATAATACATTGATAATTCGAGCATTCACTGGACTGGATGCAAATTCTTCACAGCTGAGCAAGATATATTTAAGCAATCATTTCTTTTGGGGTTCTGGTATCTCACTCCATCCACTGATACAAAGAAATCGTCTATGTTATCTTTAATCGTCTTAAATCACGGCACGCATACTTTTTCCATGTGTCAAAACAACCTAAATGGCGACAATTCAGGCCGGAAAGGTCATAGTTCCCAACCAGAACATACCCAAGACAAGGAACCAAGTAGTGGCACTAGGGTGGCTCAAAACAGCACACATAGTGGCAGTTACTTTTACTATACAGAGAAGAGTACTCCATACTGGGATGACTCTAACGGCATTATATATGACATTCCCAGCTCAATATCACTATGTATCTCAAACAAACACGCGCGAACAACTGGTGGCGGACGATCCGTTCAGCAGGAGCAGAACAGTTACGCGGATACAGTTAGCGGCGGAGTTTACCGAACAGAACGTAGCACAAACCTTGTGCCAATTCTACCAAATTCTGCTGTGGATACCAAACGTGATATAGATAGCGTCAGATTCATGGATCTGCGTCCATCTTTCAAGCCAAAAGATATGCGAAGAGACAATGGTCTACAAAGTCCGAAGAAAGACATTATTGGTACTGATCTGGATTCGAAGAATAGGCGAGGATTTTTGCATAGAGGATTCGATGGCAGATTTGAAAAATCTGCTACGAAGCACAGTGTGCTAAGAACAGAGGTGATGTCTCTACAGACTTCAATGGACCGGCCAAAGTGGCCGACAAGATGCGAGAACAGACCTACATTCTCCGTATCGTCAGAAATCGTTAAAGGGAGAAGTACATTCCAGACCATTTGCAACAACACATTGGAACAGCGGAACCCGTTCTTGGCAACCACAGAAACAGCTTCGCCATTGGAACTCTTCAGGTCGAAACAGGAATCTCGGTGCATAAAGGAGAGCAGGGCATCTTTACTCGACCAAGTAATAAGAATCCGCGGAGAAAAGCAATCAAAAGCACTCAGGACTCATGAAACCGGACACTCAGACCATTCGTCGGGCTACGAAGATAAGCGGCAGATTGCAGATAAAACGCATGCAAGAGCAACAGATCTAACGAGATCAAAATTAACTATTAAGTCAAGCTCAACTATGCAAGATGCTGGAAGCACATCTCACATTTCATATGCGAGTAGGGTTGAAGACTGAGCAAGATGATAACAATAAGAGAGGCATAGCTGCCTGAAGCAAGCCTATCATCTTTAAACTTAGTGTCTTCGTTCGAAGTAGCGATGCTCTATGTCGCCGCCATGGTGTCACGCTTTGAAGCCGAGGCGCTCCATATTCGGCCTTCCTTGCGCTTCTTCACGGTAGGAGCAGAACCAGGTCGGCTCTTTCGGCAGTCCTTCCTCTTCGCTCTTGCTCCGCTGTACGCCTTTGTCTCCATCCCTCTGCTTGACGTATTGCAAGGCAGGAACAAATTCCAGCCGTCGAATCACAGGTTATTACGGTACGGAAGGTGTTCTCCGCAAATCCTCGTTACCTGCTGGGTAGCTATTCTGATGGTAAGAGCACCGTATATAATCGCAAGGAAGATAGTACTGATTAGTTAGCAGAGTCGAAAGATTCTCTAGAGCCATGCGTTCGCGTGGTGCGTTGTTATGATTGTCGAGATACTGGGGCCTAGGCAAACTGTTGGTTCATGAGGTCTGCCTTCCTCTAGATTCCTGGCAAGGTCTTGCTTTACTGACTTCTTCTTCGCAAGCTCTTGCTTGTAGAGCCCCTTCCTGGCCCTGGTAATGACGTCTGGTAGCTGCTAGCAATGATAAATCCCGTCTCATGCGGTCCTGCCTGTCCTCTTTTCTTATTCACCTTGATTGCACGGGAGCCATGATACGCGACATTCTTTTCTATATATGCCTCCTGATGGTGCTGCCACTGCTGGCTGCCAATCATGACAAGTTCACCAACTGGTTGTGGTGGTACCCCCCACACCTGCGTAGGATGAGGATCTTTCGACTGCGTCGCTTGGTGGGCTTTTTCGCCATATGGTGCATGGTGGTCACGCCCATCATCATCATCCATGATCGAAGCCAAGGGCCAAGCCCTCCTATTAGGGCTCAGGGAGCGTCCCCTGGCGGCAGCGTAACTTTTTGAATCTGGTTTCACGCCTGGCTGACAAGGCTGAGGCTCTCGCGTCGTGGGTGAGTGGGTACGCTCACTGACGTTCTAGACGCTTGACAGTTTTTCAATCACTTTCGCTCGTATTGCACTATCTCGAGCTGAATTTGCTTTGATTTTTCATTGATCCTTCTAGCTTGCTGGTTGATCCAGGAAGAAGTCATCGCACTCTGTCATTCACTAAGAACTACTACGCCGACTCGAAGTTCATTTCCTTGCATAAGAGCTTCTAACATTGCGACTTTCATAATCACCAGCACCAAGATCTCCCAACATCTTGTAAGTCGCTAAGGTTAATGTCGCCGTGGCCGTCAGTAATTCAGCGCCTGCTTCATCACACGCGAGAACGAATTAGTGGACGTGGCTGTATTTATGGCGTGACGTAGTACTACAGCTATTTGATAATATCGAATAGCTTGAGAATGTTGAAGCAGTGTACCGTTATACTGACTTCTATGCGTAGTGAATTGCCTTTTAATGGTCGGATGCAGCTTATCTAGCGTCTGGCAACGCAGCACCTGATCGCAGGAGCATGAATTAGTAATTTAACGCCCTAAATATTAGCCAAAAGAAGCTAACGCCTTTGGTTCCTGTTTGTACTTGCTAGATAAATAAATTCTATAAAATCTTGACCTGCGGTTCACAAGCCGGCTGCAAAAATGGTACTAGCGAAGCATTCAACATTACCCTTCCATTCCGAAACGCACGGCCGCATGGAAAGACACATAACACACAATATCTATATTACCTCCAGTGAATGATATCCGCTTTCGGATGTCGACCTGTGCTCTGTATGGGATCACACGTTACCGCATACTTATGTACTTTTCGTAATTTCCTTCCGTAACAAATCTTTACACGCGTTCTGTCAGTACCCTGCTTTAGAACTACTATTCAATTATAGAAAAGCTCTCCTAGTTGACCATCTGTATTTATATATGTGAAATGCAATCACATCCATACAAATGGAGCTATGTTCATTGAATTGCGGGGTAGAAGTGTGGGGTAGCTGGTATTTCGTGCATCAATTAGGCCGAGGTCTACAGTGACCGTGCGCCAGATGGTCATGGTCGCCAGTTGGACACCCCCACCACAACAACAACAAAACTTCAACGCGTTATAACTTAACTAATATAAACCTAATCTAAGAAGCGATTAAAGAAATTAAATTGTGAGAGCTGGGAGAACAGTTCTCGTACTAATAAATTACTAAAAAGTACAACGTACCATGAACAACGCTAATAAGACGACATTGTAAGGGGCTCGACCCCGGAGGGTAGTCTTAAGCTCGGGAGCACGATCGGAGAGGCCAAGGTAACAAGATTGTATTCGATAGAGAGCTAAGCTCTCGGCTACGTAGCTATCTATATACAATGCTGGTTGCTAGGGTAACAATCGGGCCGGGCAGGTGGAGTAAACGAGGTCGTAGACGAGTATGGGAGGCGAAGGGCGTTTAGCCCGTTACAAAA